GAGCGCGCCATTTTTTGTTCTGTAGACGTCTGTAAGAAGGACAAGGAGGAGGCGTTACTCATTATGATTAGTATACTGCGCATGCTTGTTCACAGGCATCCTCACGCTATACACTACCTTTCTTTAAAACCCAGATTTTTCACTGTTTACATTTTGCATGCGATTTTTCTCTTTTTCCTCCTACCCCTTGGCGACCTATCTAAATAGGTCGCCAAAAAATTGGCGACACTTGGCCTTGCCGTAGTTATGATAATAATCCCGCGATTTTATTTTCTGTTTTAAAATATGAAATTTATTCGTATTATGACAAACTCTTGGAATGATATTCGAATTGTGAGAAATTTCTTCACTAGCTTTACTTTTTCGAAACTTACGCCTAATAAAGGCTCTAATGACTGGCTTACTAGACAGTTAAATGATGTTTACGTTAGAAAAAGTAGATATGATCGATATCGTTGTCGGAGTGCTTACAAATTATTAGAAATAGATGAGAAGTATAACATATTAAAGCCTGGTCACTCTGTCGTTGACTGCGGGGCTGCACCTGGCTCTTGGACTCAAGTTGCTGTTAAAAAGTTGAAACTAGATAAAGGTTGGTACCTACTATCAGCATGGTGCGTTTTAAAAAGTGCTTGAAGGTGCATATTTTCAAAATCTCTTAAAGGTGCTTTTTTCATTGGGAGTTTTTAAATTTTCCCTTTTCGAGAATGAGATTTTATTCTTTACCATTTCAATTTTCTCCACGTATTTTGCAAAAACATGCTCAGGGGTCTGTTTAGAAGAAATTTGCATTCGTTAATGGACCCTTACAAAATATTTTAACTTAAAAACGGACCCTTCACAAAATAATTTATCTTCTAATCGGACCCATATAGCCCATTGTGCAGCTCTAGTGCGACGTAAATTAACAACAACATCTAATCGGACCCTTCACAGATTTGTTTATCTTCATTATTGTTTTGTTAATCGAATATACNATGGAATAAACCCTTCCCAGGAAAGGGGGGGGGGGGAAGACAGATGCAAACGAACTAAGTTTTGTCTTCCGCAGACACTTCTTCCTTTATTTGTCCAAAAATGAATATTCTGCTGCAGCAGTATAGACTAAATACCAAATATTTGTATGTTGCATCTCTAATTTAGTAGCAGCAATCATTGTTTATTTTTTAAAATGTCATTTTACAGTGTTGAGCATAATCTTGTATATCTTTACAATTTAAAAACTCCTTGAAAAAGGTTTTTGCAATAACAGGACCCTATTTCCACAAATTCACAAAAGTAGGACCCTGGTTGAAAGAATGTGATTTAACATTTATTTTATATTCACAAATTATGAGTCATTTTTTCACAATTTTACAAAAACGGACTTTTCACAAAATGTCTGGACAGACCCCTAGTGCTTTTCACAATAGTCTGTTCAATGTTTTCACAATTCATTCTACCATAATCCCTTTTGACGTACCATCAGTTTAGTACATGAAAGCGCCAATCATTTTACATGTTTGATGAAATATTTGCGAGTCTGCATGTTTGTCTACGGAGCTAGGTTTGGTGAGATTATTGCACTCTCATGTGCAATTCTATTACATTCCCGATTTCCACCTTCTGGGACCCTACCATGAGGGAATGATGTCATGTAAAGCAGGAATTTCTTTTTACTCTCCAGGAAGCTGGTAAGAAACTTGTCTACTGCCCAGAATCCTCATTCTTGGGAGGGAATTTTTGAGGACTAAATACGATATTTCGCCGATGAATGTCTTTTTTCTATTTCATAAGAGAAGATAACAAAATTTCTAAAAGATAAACGTGCCATTTTCAAGACGATAATTAAAAGAGAAATGTTTTGTTTCATTAGTATGTGTGAACGAAAAGATACTTTCACGAGTTAACTAAGAAATTACGTCAAACTAAGTAGAATTATGCTCTCATTATATGATAATTGTTACTATTTCTATGTTATTATTACCTGGGATATATTACTTGGCCAATACCTTTTTTTGAAGTACCAATAATTTCTTTTTTTAATTTCCTTTCGAAGAAACTTTTAATTCAACAGTATTTAACTTCCTTCCGAACGATAGTTCTTTATACTATACACCGATGCAACACATTTAAAGGAATTTGTTACAGGCATGATGTATTATAAAGTAAACAATTTATTTATAATAGGAAATTCAAAAAAGAATAATGGGAAAAGAAAAAAGAATAAAAACGTTTCAAAAAATATTTATGAAATATGTAATACTTAATTCTTCTTTTATTCATTTTAAAAATTTTTATTCTCATTCTTCTATTAAAATATATATACTATAAAAGCTGTGGAAGTAGTTCCCTGAACTATAAGTTTTAAGTATTTCATGCGTAAAATGATTTTACAAATCACGAAAAAAAATTTACGCAGTTCTATAAATTAATTTCTTTTGAACATAATTATTTAACTGTCAGTAAAAACAGTCGCTTTAATAATGTAACAAATAAAGTAATTAGCAAAGTATTAACTTTAGTCATTCATATTGTTACAAATTTAATTGAAAACTAATGAACTTTTCTGAAATTATATTAATTTCAAAGAGAATATGTAAACGTTAATTTTTTGTCTGATAAAATTTGAATTCTTTCTGGCAATTAGTTTTGATTTAGAAACTAGTATAATTAGTAATCTATCTACATGCAGTTCTCAGGCATGAAAATTTGAGTCTTATTTCATTAAAATATGATCATTATTTTAAGAGCTGTACTTTTTAAAAAATATTTAAAATAAATAATAAAACATATTAAGGGATATATCAGAAATATTTATTATGAAAAAATGATTTTATTTTATGAATTATACATGATAAATATGACAGTTTTTAATTAATAAAAATATATGTATAATAAATTAAAGAATATTTCAAAGTATTCGCAGTACATGTTTTTTTAGTCTAGTGAAAACAAAAAACATTATAAAAAGAAAACAATAAGTAGTCAAAAATACTATCTAAATAGCAGAGGCTCATTTCGTTTTACTCATGCTAATGCTGCCAAACCTGAAAAGAAAATCTAAAGTAAATTGTGTGATTGGTTAAATTTTACCCACGCCCTGAGAGAGAGTTATCATGGAATGTCTGATTCCAAGGGAGTGTTCATGGTACCTACGGTATTGAACATTCATGGAACCAAACTTTCCCAGTTTCATTTTCCAGCCAGGAATCTTCATTCCATTCCTGGTAGCTCATGGTAGGGCCCCTGATCAGAGGCGTATCTATGGAAAGAAGCGTCTATGGCAAATCTCTTACTGGCGCCCTTCCTAAAATATTAATATTCTTTTTTTTTTATCCAATACAAAATAAAAGCATTGTTTGAAGTATTTAACTCTTTTGACAATATCACAAAAAGATTGAATTGAATTAAAAAAAAATTGATAAATGAATAAATATTACAATAAAATTATCTCTTTTTAATTGTTATGCATTCACGTGTATTCGAAATCCTCATCGGTAAGAAATTAAGATAGGCTTTTTTATCACATTTATATAGAAGATTCTACTGTGTTTTTTCAATTGTCAATAAAAATTCTAAGAAGTTGTTTAATTAAGCACAATTATATTTTATAAATATAATTTGTTAATAAAATTATGTACACACAACAAATGTAGCTCTGAGAAGAACATTGATTACCTAACATTTTCAAAATTAAAACTGAAGGAAATTGATTTTTTTTTAAATAATCACGCTTTGCTAACATCAAAACAATAAAATCATCGCGATATAATAAATTCATTAAAGATTACAGTGTAAATAATTACAATTTGTTATGATAATTACGAATAAAATAGCTACAATCAAAAGATATGTTTTGATTAGTTTATTTACTGTTCAATAAAATAAAAAACCAATGCTCTTAATATAATTACATTTTACAATCATTATATAATAACAGATAATTAGAAAAATTATACACACAATTTCATACAAAACAAGACTTAATAGCGACAATAATACATTCTTTATTGAGAAATAAATTAGGGGAAGTTGACGATTAGTTTTAAGAATATCTAGAAATAATTCTTTTGCTAACAGTAAAAAAAAGGCAAAAAGTAAAGAAATAGACCAGAATACATTCTAGCATATTTAATTAAAAAAAAACAAATTATGAAAAATTCTCTTCGCATCACAATGGAACAAATTAAAAATAAAGCAAAATATTAAGCAAATTTGAATTATAAATTTTTAGACGTTCAGTGCGCAAAAAAATAAATCAACGAACCATCCTGATAACTTTTGATCTAATGATCAGATCTTCACTTTCTTCTCATCTCAATGGTTCAAGGGGTGACTTAAAATATGATAATTAATAGGTACTAGGCAGGGTTGGAGTTTTTGCCGGCAAAAAGGGTTTTTTGCCAGGACAGTGGTAAAAACCTGGTAAAAACCGGCAAAAACTGGTAAAAACCGGCAAAAACCAAATTATCTAAATTGCTGATTAAATATTATTACAAAATACTTGAAACAAATTTAAATCAATCATAAGGAATAATAATTTTGATACATTACATGAAAAAATTATTTTTAACATATTAATAATTAATATACCTAAGGGTAATAATTTTTAAAAGATTGAAAGTTTTTGATCTCTTTTCATTTTAGAATCCTAAAATAAATGTTTTTTTACAAATAAATAA